TCTAGTCTCTGACCAGCTCTCATGCATGGACTTTGGAGGAACTTGTACTAGGGGACCTGGATTGGGTAAATTTTCCTGTCAGTGCAAGGCACAAGTTACCGTGCTTCCATTCATCGACAACAGATGTAATGTTATTGAGTTATATATCAAAGTTATAAAAAACAATCAGTGCCATTAACCATCGTTCGTACAAGTAAATCCATATGGAAAACGGGAATCTAGGTAAGGAGCAGAAGTACAAAAGACTGGCCATGGATTCGTTCCCTCAAGCACGAATTTCTCTTTTTTCTTTTCTTTCACACACGCATAGCACGTATGCAGGCACATTTCTTTGTTTACTGTCTGCTTAACATTAGCTCTTTTTCCCTGGAGGATAAGGGAAGAAAACCCTTAATTTTCGGATGACAGCATGCCGTTATTCACAGTGCTTAGTGTACGTATATGGGTTAGTTCAACATTAGACGTTATGGTCGCTTTATATTTTGGTAAAGAAGTGTTAATTGTGTTTGAAACATAAAGGAGCTTCTACTGACTAACGACTTTGTGTAAATTATTAGGGCCTTTCCAAAAAATAGGTCCTCCTTATTATACGTGACGGTTACCTGAAATTGTCATGATTTGACTAACAAACCTGAAGCGACAGTGCACATATCTTACCCCTTCTTAGTGCTTCGTTTTTCGGACATAAATGCACGGAAAGTAAAAGTAAAAGTCTAAAAATGGATTTGCTCACACTCGGATTCGAACTCAGATTCTCGGTGGCACAGAAATCCGCGCGTGCACTAACCGACTGTGTCAATCCTTTCTCCTAAGATGACGTAGTTTGACAATGGTAATTTCGATGATAATAGACACACTGTAAATGCCGAAATGCCAAACGATTTTGTGATCTTCTTGGAGCGACCGCAGCCTCTTACGATATGCTTTATAGCGCCTGGAAGGCGGCCCTTCAAAAATGTGCGTAAGTAACTCGTTAGTATTTTTTTGTCTCCATTTTTTTGTATTTGTTGTGTACAAACTTCTCATGAGTGATTTATATGATGATCACACTGATGCTGTGGTTGGTTTGTTGCTTGGTTGGAACAAGAAAAGAAACCTTAAAAAACCTATCTTATATTACAAACTTTGCTTTAAAACTTTTTGGGGGGGAAGCAAGATATAAAGCCCCCTTTTTAGGACATGAAGCTAGCGAGAAGTGATATACCATCCTCTGAAGAAGGATCATACCATGCCTTTCCATCTCCGCGCGCTTAGACCACACTCTCTCCCAGCATGCACTACCAAGCCTTGAACACATACACTTACCTATTTCAGGTATGGTTGGCTGGCAGATGGCACTGTTCGCTATCCAATGCACGTACTGAAATCAAATTGCGGAAACAAGACAGGCATAGTTGGAAGTTCAACTCCGAGAAATAAAACCAAAATGTTTGACGTATGGTGTTATAAAGAAACTTAATTACTGGGAGAGAAAAATATAAAGGGTCTTTGAAAAACGTTCAGCCGTAGGTTAAGACTTCACAAATGTGAAACATGTAAAAAATAACAATTGTGAACGAATGAATGAATGAATGAGCTTTCATTTCAATCAATGTTTCCTAGAAGCAACCTGGCAGGATTATTCTTGGTTTGGAGTCACGTGACAAGGCGTCATGTTGGTGACCAATCCGTGACATTTCCCCTCAAAATTTGGGAAAAATAGAGTTAAACTCAAAACGGAAAGAAACGGTTTTGTTTTTGGCCCTACTATAGCAACCGTCACGTCACCTGCAAACCGGATATTAAATAATGCATAACATTACGATGACCTTGTTTATAATTTTACACTCATAAAGGTTTAACAATACATAGGCATGAAGTAAAACGCCCATATTTATTTTCGGAACCGTACTCTCGATTTGTACTTATTGGTTTCAAGATTTTGAATAAACAGCGATAGTTTGAAGAATAGCTTTGACTAGCTTAATCAATTTCAAATAGGACCTTCTTTGAGTGCTTTGTTTTCTCATTCAATAAACATTATTAAATATTTAACAGTAAAATTTACTTTATGCAAAGGTTTGAAGATATTCTTTTATAACATCGATGAAGATATTGTCAAACCTTGGACAAGGCTATGCTGAAGGCGAAATTGTACTCTCTCGGAACGAAAAGCACGCTGAATTTGAAGACATTCCCTTAAGGAAAAGCTACTCTGCAGGTATAAAAGGTTTGTTAAATTTAAAGTGAGTATTTAAACTAGGTACATGTAGTTTCAGCTGCTGAAGGTCGGTGAAGGCCGAAAAACGATGCAGTAATATCAGGTCATTATAAACTAAAGAAACACCTTCAGCATTAAACGTAAGCCGAGATTTTATTGCTACAACTCAGTTTCATGTCTCTTCAATCAGCTCTTTTAAAAAAGAAAAAGACACTGACCGACTAACTCGCGCAAAGAGCAGTAACGGAACTACTAAGTGATATAATTCTATTTCATGACCCTTAGTCAACAAAGTCATACACCGTCTCTGTATTTTAACTACATGATTTAGGAAAGCAAGACTAAGTGTTAAGACGCACTAACTTTTATTCACTTTTTCAGTTAAGCTTATTTTTTAGTACTCGACGAGTGAAGTGATCAAATGTGAAATAATATTGCTTTGTGCTGAGAAGAAAGAGAAGCTCGATGTAATAATAATAACACTTATATAGCGCTTATCCGCATGCGTTCTAAGCGCTTGTAGCAGGATGTCAGTCGCTGTGTGACGTGGTCGCTTACTAACGAATTGTGAACCCGCCCTAAAATCGCGTCCATCTCGGAGAGATTCAAAATATAGAGTTGGAACTGAGAAAACTTTGGGGTCTTGGAAGATGGTTTCATTGCGGTGAAGGGAAAATGCGAGATGTAATTGCACATACACAGTAATTTCCAAGGAGTTATAATAACTTCCCTAGTGGGGTTAATTTAACTCCTTACAGTGGAGTTATTTTTTTTGTGGGGGGGGGGGGGGAGGGAGTTATTTTAACAAAAAGGAGTTTACAGAACTCTTTTTCAGGAGTAAAAATGACCCCAGATATGGAGGAGTTAAGAGTGAGTCCATGGGTGCACCAGGCAGGTGTGCTACATGCTATCTCTCCGATTTCAATGAAACTTGGCCAGTTTAAAGGGTCTACCCCAAAACTCAAAATGACAAACTGATTCATAGTTTGGATCTTTATGGTGGGAGATAGCCCACCCAACTGGTTTAACTACATTTTTTACCAATAAAAGCGCATTAATAACAGGCAAAAGTAGGAAGCTCTCAGGACAACAGTTTTCAACCTTTTACCTTGAGGGTTTGTATATATAGTGATACATCTTTGACAAATGCAAGGATCTAAGTTTATGTTTTTATGCTCGGTGCGTTGGGAATTATGCGTGCGAATGGAGGTTACGTAACGCGTACTGCATTCAGGCGTGTTCATCACGCTTATTGTTGGGTTGTGTTTAAATAGGTTCACCACGTCTTGTGCTCTTACTTTAGGTCGTTTCAGTGGGTGTAATCGACCGTCACTTAGTTTCTTGCTTGCTTATCATGTCTGATAAGGAAGGCGTGGAGGATCCCAAAGTTATCTCTGTTGGGTCTTTTGAAGACTTAAGGTCTTACTTTGATAAAAAATTTTCACATTTAAAGCGTGAGCTTTCTGATGATCAACTCAAATCGTCTTCATCCTTGGTGAAGAAAATTAAGACCGAAACGAGCTTAAGCTTTAAGTTTAGCGGCAACAAGAAACAGTTCGAGTTTAATACTGAGACTTTGGAACACGTCACTCAGAGTCTTTCTTTTGTCGATTCACTGAAATCTCTGGTCGATCTTGAAAACTCTGAGAATCATCAAGTTTCAGCGCTGATTCTTAAGCTCGACGATTCCCTCAACGTTGCTTCAAAGGCCATAAAGCGAAGAAACAAGCTCATCAGAATAGCGGATAAATCGGAAGCTGGCTGGGCCGTAGTCGACGAGTATCTTTCTGACGAAGTCGCTTCTCGGTTCTGAAGACGAGAAGAAGATCCGTGCTGCGGAGCAGAGGGCGTTGCGAAAGAAGAAGAACGCTCGCAGTGCGAAGTCGGGACAGAAGTTGAGTATTTTATCTGTTATTTTTATTCGTTTCCTTTGCCCGTTCTTTATTTTCTTTAGCGTTTAGGAGGTCGTATTATACCACTGCCGACCTATTCCTCCTATACAATAAATTCATTATTGTGTATTTGCTTGAGTGTGTTTCATTATTACAGAGTTTAGAGCATAAATAAGTTATTTTCGGTACGCAGTTTAGAAAATAAATGTTTTTATGCTCGGTGCGTTGGGAATTATGCGTGCAAATGGAGGTTACGTAACGCGTACTGCATTCAGGCGTGTTCATCACGCTTATTGTTGGGTTGTGTTTAAATAGGTTCACCACGTCTTGTGCTCTTACTTTAGGTCGTTTCAGTGGGTGTAATCGACCGTCACTTAGTTTTCCTCTTTCTTCCTTTTTTCTTTTCAGGTCATTCAGCGTCCAGAGACTTCCTCGGGGTTTTCATCGGCTGTCTCCTCTATCACTCCAAGAAATTTTACTAATTTTCGTCCTCAAACGTCAAAGGGCGCCTTGTTAAAGGCCGTTATGACATCTGCTTCGCCTGCGGCAAGACCGGCCATTGGAGAGCAAGTTGCCCCAACTTATTCTTCACTCCCGGATCAACCTACAAACAGATCCAAAGCTTGTCAAGTAAAGACAGCGGTTCTTCTGGGCAGCAGTAGTTCCATTGCTGATAGTAAAGCAGTAAATGAAACTCTTGAAGGTATTTTTGACGAAGGTCCAGCTTTAGAGGAGTGTTTTGAATTTGAGAATTCTCCCGATAGTATTCAATCGGTTAACGGTAGGCTTAAAGCTCATTTTAGTTTTTGGGCGGATACGTTAGGTGCAAATGATTTCATTCTCCGGGTTATTGACATGGGGTATGCCATACCCTTTATTACATTTCCTCAGAATGCGTTTTTCGACAATAACCATTCAGCACTTACGCACGCTGATTTTGTTTTGAAGGCTATTCAAGAGCTCATTTTGTCAGGTTCAGTTGTTCAAGTTTCTAGTCCTCCTCATGTTGTCAATCCCTTGTCTGTTTCCATACAGAGTTACGGCAAGAAGAGGTTGATTTTAGACCTCAGGCATGTCAATAAACATATCTGGAAAGAAAAGTTTAAGTTTGAGGATATTAGAAACGCTTGTGTTTATCTTCCTTCCGATCATCTCATGTTTAAATTTGATCTCAAATCTGGCTACCACTATATTGATATTTTGCAGGATCATCAAACTTTTTTAGGGTTTTCTTGGGTTGTTAATGGCGTAAGGAAATATTTTGCGTTTACAGTACTCCCTTTTGGGCTCTCCTCAGCTCCTTATATTTTCACTAAGGTTGTTCGTGTTCTCGTCCGATATTGGAGAAGTCATGCTGTGAGAATAACAGTTTACCTTGATGACGGGCTTGGTTCCGCCCGTGATTTCGCTCGCTGCGAAGCTGCTTCATTATTTGTTAAGACTTCGCTTCAGCTTTCTGGTTTCCTGCCTAATGACAGTAAATCGATTTGGCAACCAACTTCTTGTTTAGTCTGGTTGGGTTATTGTATTGATTTAGCCGTTCATACTATTTTCATTCCTTCGGTTAGGATTCTCAGTGTCGTACAGGTTATTGATTCAATTCGTTCTCAGTATCCTTCTAGTACTGCTAGAAAATTGGCTCAGTTTGTTGGTAAGGTTATCTCTATGGGTTTCGTCTTTGGTAACATTACTCGTATTATGACAAGGTATTCTCATTTGGATATTTTAAGAAGCCCTACATGGGATGAAAAAATTTCCCTGTCGGGTTCAACTCTGAAGGAATTATGTTTTTGGAAAGAGAACATTCCTTCCCTAAATAGTAGGCGCCTCTTGTCTACACACAGTTCCATTATTCCCGTGTGTGTTATTCCGATGCGAGTTCTACAGGCTGCGCCAGTTATATGTTAGATCTTTACAACACCATTTCTCACAAGTTGTGGAGTGTTGATGAGGCGCAGAAGAGCTCCTCTTACAGGGAACTTAAGGCCGTTTCCCTGGGTCTAGAATCTTTTTTGCCTTTACTTAAAGGGCGCACTATTAAGTGATATACTGACAATCAGAGTGTTGCTAGAATCGTTGAAGTAGGAAGCATGAAGGAAGATTTGCAATGCTTAGCTTTGCGTATTTTTAGTATGTGCTTGCTCAGTTGCATCACATTGGAAATCGAATGGATTCCGAGATCGGCTAATGATAGAGCTGATTTTTTTAGCAGAATTGTGGATTATGATGACTGGCGGGTCAACAGGGACTATTTCCTTTTGGCCGAAGAGAAATGGGGTCCTCACTCTGTGGACCGGTTTGCGAATCATGAGAATACTCAGTTGCCCCGTTTTAATAGCAGGTTTTGGTGCCCTGGTACAGAGGCGGTTGATGCCTTTTCTGTTTCTTGGGTGGGCGAGAATAATTGGCTCGTTCCACCTATTTTTCTCATCCCCAAGGTCCTTAATCACATGGTTGCCCTTGGCGGTCGTGCTACACTTGTTGTTCCTGCTTGGCCTTCCGCCCCATTTTGGCCTTTAATTTTTACTGACGAGGGTTTGTCTCCCATATTCTCTGATATTTTTGAGATCCCCTTAGGTACTGATGTTTTCGTTTTGGGTAACTATAAAAATTCCCTTTTTGGATCACCTAATTTTCGTTCAGGGGTTTTGTTCTTGCGGTTTTCCTAGAGAGGCCGTAGTTTATAGAGTTCTTACGCTCATACCACATGGTATCCGGGTATTTTGGGATGCACTTGGATCCTTGTTTTGTGGACCACTTGGTCTTTTTTATTATGCAAGGGCTACTTTGGCCCTTAGTGGTTATATTTTTCAGTGTTTTTCTTGGAACCACTTGGACCCAACCTTACCTTGTTTCACTTCGTGTTGTATTTTTCTGATATATTTTTTCTTTGGTCATTTTTGTCATTTTATTTTCTCTATTTTTTGCTTCAGATGCTAAAGCAGCTGCCAGTCGGAAGTTTGGCGTTTTACTTTGTGAGAAGTTTTGGCTCTCTGCCTTTAATTCTCGAGCTGATAACACAGTTATTAATTATTGTAAATCATTTTGTAAGTTTAAAGCGTGGTGCTTGCAGAGCACTGGGGAGGTTTCTTTTCTCCCAGCTACTTCCTTCACAGTTTCCTTGTATTTGCATCATTTATTAGAAAATTCGTTTGGTAGTTCCACCATTTACGGCGTTTTTTACGCTATTAACTGGGTACATAAGTTATCAGGTTTTGAGAATCCCAATCCGTGTGACAACTTTCTCGTCAGGTCTATTGTTGAGGCTTCCAGTCGTGCTCCTCGTAAACCTGTCAGGAAGGCGGAGCCTATTACCCCAGAGATCCTTGGCTTAATTTTGCAGCATTATGGGGAAAGTAGTAACTTACTTGATATCCGGTTTGTCTGTATGTGTTTACTCGCGTATGCTGGCTTTTTCCGCATTTCCGAGCTTTTAAGCATTAGGAGATCTAATATTGTAACTGAAGATCTCTATCATAAGATTTTCATAGAAGTTAGCAAGACTGATAGGTACAGAGAGGGTTCCTGGGTTTATATTGCCAAGACAGGCAATTTTACTTGCCCTTATACATACCTTATTAAGTACTTAGAAGCTGCCAAGATTCCTTCTTTTTCTCAGAATTTCATTTTCAGATCCTTACGGTATGACAAGGATTTGAAGAGCAATGTCTTGTCTTCAAAGCCCCTCACTGCTAGCAGGGCGGGAGAAATTCTTAAGGGGAAGCTGAAAGCTATTGGGTTAGACCCTTCTAAGTTAAGTAGTGACAGCTTTCGGTCCGGAGGAGCTACTTCCGCTGCTAATCTGAATGTTCCAGATCGGCTTTTCAAAGTTCACGGAAGGTGGAAGTCAGATTCAGCTAATGACGGCTACGTCCACGATAAAGTCGACTCGCGTCTTTATGTTCCTTTGCACATTGGAATTTAATTTATTCAATTTTTGTACCAGTGGGTTTAGATTCAGTTTGTATTTTTCCTATCATTTATACTTCTGTATCATGTAAGTTGTGTTTGTTAGGAGGTCGTATTATACCACTGCCGACCTATTCCTCCTATACAATAAATTCATTATTGTGTATTTGCTTGTGTGTGTTTCATTATTACAGAGTTTAGAGCATAAATAAGTTATTTTCGGTACGCAGTTTAGAAAATAACAGTCAATTTGATTGACAGCTTGTCAATTACCGGCCTTGAATATGGGACCACCTTTTTAGCCATTCAAATATTTGTTGATTTTAAGATCAAATATCTCTCCTTGCCAGAAACACCTGAATGAAGGACTTCTGTATAGTTTAACTCGTAAGAAGAATAATCTCTGATTTTGCAAGAAACTCAAAACGAGGTCACAAACATTACGATTTTGCCTTCGATATTTTGGTGGCGTGCATCACTAATCAGCGTGAAATCAGCGCGAAATCTTGAACGTTTTAAGCATGCATTAGACTCCTCAATTATTATTCTTGTATAACGGGCTGGAAAGTGTCGGTTTAGTAACTTCAGCGGCCCTTAATTGCTGAATTATAGGGCAGGAGAAGTGGAAATAAGCTTGTTTTAGGTGCAGTTTTCAAGTGGCACCTGACGTCCAAAAAAGGCAGAGCCCAGAAATGTTTTTTATGTTTATTATAGACTAAAGGGTTGGTAAACAGGGAGTAGCAAAATTATTGTTATAGCTTTCCGGCAAGGAGAGATATTTGATCTCAAAATCAACAAATATTTGAATGGCTAAAAAGGTGGTCCCATATTCAAGGCCAGTGATTGACAAACTGTCAATCAAATTGACTGAAACTTACATCCTTGCATTTGTCAAAGATGTATCAATAAATATACAAACCCTCAAGGTAAAAGGTTAAAAACTGTTGTCCTGAGAGCTTCCTACTTTTGCCTGTTATTAATGCACTTTTATTGGTAAAAAATGTAGTTAAACCAGTTGGGTGTGCTATCTCCCACCATAAAGATCCAAACTATGAACCAGTTTGTCATTTTGAGTTTTGGGGTAGACCCTTTAAACTGGCCAAGTTTCATTGAAATCGGAGAGATAGCATGTAGCACACCTGCCTGGTGCACTCATGAACTCACTCTTAAAATAACCCCAAAAAAGAAGTTACCCTGTACCTTAAATTTTTACTCCACTTTCAGAGTTAAACTAACTCCAAAAAGAGTAAAAACAACCCATGTAAGGAGTAAAATTAACCCCATTTACTGAGTTATTTGAACACCAGACTGGGAGCAAAACGAACTCTTTCTCAGGAGTAAAAATGACCCCAAATTTGGAGTTAAATTACAAGTTAAAGTAACCCCATAAAACGGGTTATCCCGTACGTAAAATGTTTACTCCATTTCTGGAGTTATAATAACTCCCTAAAAATTACTGTGTAGTGGATTGAAGCACACCACTTGTTTTAAATAAGCAAAACACAATGATCCGTCATGTGTACTTGGATAAGAGAGATGCAGGTTTTAACATTGATCACTACGGTAACAGTTTTTTTTTTACACCCATTCCGAGTTGAGCACAGGAATGAAAGTAAAGCGGGTCCATATTGATACACTATTCTAACGAATCATCTATTTGTATGTAACTATTTGATTTGACAGTGCCACGGAGGGAGTGACTTTTTGAAATGCGACCTACCATCCAGGCCACTGGCTTAACAACCTGGCTCATGACCTTACCATTGCTTGCTCTAGGCCATCGTTACATCACAAGAGAAAGGACTTTTTACAAAGTTGATGGAAAGTCACTTATCGGCAGTGTAACAGCAGAGATGGAAGTCAAAGATTCCTTCGACTGTTCCCATCTATGCCTAAAGTATGGACCTGTGCCATGTCTCTCTTTCAACCTGGAAAGAAGTAACAATAGCATTCATACTTGTGAGCTAAGCAGCTCAGAAAAATATTTGGAGCCACAAAAAGTACAAGAAAGAACCGGATACGATTACTACGGGACCGAATACGATGTAGGTAGACCAATCTTGCCTAATTTAGTTGTCAGTATTAAATGGGCTTGAGTGAAAAGTTCGCTTCAGTTAGACAGCAAGAGCAGGAATCAAAAAAGCACATGGAAGAGTGAACTAGAAGGATAGTGAAAATTACCCTTTTCTAGCCTGAAATAACTCTGACTGTGATTGGCAGACGCACATTCTTTCATTAAATTCAGAATTGTCCCTCTCGTCTTTTGCTGAAGTGTTAGAAACTTGACATGAGTTTTTTACTCAGAGATACCTATAGAATGAACTAGAAATTCAAATACTGCACGGAGTATAGAATATTGCTACAGCAATAAAGAGACTGAACAATTCCTGGAGGAAAGAAGCTTTTAGAGTCCCAGGAAGACCGACGTGCGTTGTTGACCATTAACACACTCAGCCAACCAATCTCCTAAGAGCGCACAGTGCACTAAATTGTAAAATCGAAATGCACATAAGTAGAATCCTCATAAAAGGCAAAGGCTTACAGAGAGAATTAAAATGATTGATTTATAAAGGCAAAATGTATCGGCTTTTCAAAATAAATGCAGATACAAGAGAAATTTACACCAGACATGAATAGCAGGCCTAAAATGCACACGATTTTAACCGAATAGCGATAACAGTCCTTCAAAAAATACCCTACCCTTGGGCCCTGTCGTGCAGCACCGCGAAGAAGCGGGCTTTTGAGGAGAAAGAAGGGTAGACTGCAAAACAGTCGCTTGAAGATTCTTGCGCGACGGGGTCAAACCTCACTTTACCCTCGCTCCAGTTCTTTTGTTTGACCGCTCGAGCGTTCTTAAGATACGATAAAATACCGGCTATTTTGCAGTAAAATAGAAGGAAGAAAAATTAATAATTAACTGGACACCATCGATTAAAAGGTAAATAAAGGCAACCCTACCATATCATATGATGTATTTTAGTCTCTAATTAGATTACGCCCCTGCATCAGTAGTCCATGTAACTTTGGCGGGACTTGTACTGATGGTCCTGGATTGGATGAATATTCATGCCAATGTAAGCCAGAAGTCTCAGTTCTTCCATTCATCGATAACAGATGCAACGTTGGTAAGTTGAATATCAGAATCTACAAGTCTTCTTAGTCAAACCTTGCGTCTCTGATGGCTGTGGGAAATGTACGGTAGTACTTAAGTGACGTTTAATACCGACTTTTTCCGCCATCTTTATACGCTCATAAGGACCACTTAAACAATGATAACAGTAAAAGAAAAGTCACGTGGTGTCTCACGCCTGGGCGAGAAGATCATAAAAGCTCCCATGATAAGCCGGCGCTCAAGGTGGAGTTTATTTCATTTCTTCTATTGGGATAATTTTGTGTCATCTTAATAAATGTATCGCTGAGTTTCTTCAAGTTTTGCGTCATCTTATTTTGCTTTCAATTTTCAACCAATTCTCGCTTTGTCTTTTAGTCTCTTTCCTCGTATTTAGTTTGCGGGTGGTTATCAAGTTCATTAATTAATAAGTAAATTTAAACAAATAAGCATTTAAAAAAGTACATTATTTAAGCTACGCCCATGGATGCCAGCGTTGAACTTTACTATGAGCTTACTCTAGAAAAGTAAAGAAAAAAAAGAGAGCAAAGTTGTTATCGATTATACTTTTTTTCAGACACCACTAAGATGTTTTTCGGCCAAACTCCTACTCAAGGAGTGTTTTGGGGTCAAGCAGTCAAAACATACAACCTGAATTATGAAAATGCCAAACGTTTTTGCGACCTTCTAGGAGCCACCCTTGCCACTTACAATCAGCTTTATACCGCCTGGCAGGCTGGTCTTCAACGCTGCGCGTAAGTAACTTTATTTTAACGTTTATTTTTTACTTATTTTCTCTATGTTATCTTGTACATGTGGTTTCCTGGTACAAGAAGAAACTAACTCGATATTCCGCATACAGGCGCTTAATATGAATGTTTATCGAACATGAATGTGTACCCTCAATTTAACTTAAGGAGATGTAACATTAAAGTCGGTGACGGATCCAGACCTTATAAGGGACTGTGCAATAATTACCTGGGGGGGGGGGGGGCGGGGGGGTTGGAAAATTAGAGGGGAGCATAGGAGAAAATGACAACAAGAGAGATGGGGGGTTGAATGTAAAATTTAATACATACAGGGGGGGGGGGGGCGGCATTACTTTTTCATCCCCTTTTGCAAACTGGAAATGTAGTGGAAGAGTTATTAGAGTTCAAATATAAATACTAACATTGGAATAAAACTGACAAATTTATCAACTCTAAGGTGTTCTGATCTATGAACTGTTGTTTTCCTATCTGTCATGCAGTAGGAAAGGAATGCCTTTGTTATAAGCATGTGTTAAAACAGTGCTACTTTACTTGCACTAGGATTTATTAAAACAGGAAACTTTAATTAAAAGTTGCAAAGTAGCACTATAATGTTATTCAATGAAAAAGAAAGATGCCAATGTTAGCACACATGGCATCATAATTTAGCAGAATGAAAAACCCAACTGTTGAAATTTTAATAGCAAGACAAATTTAAAGTATGGTAAATAGAAGATGTAAAAGCGGTTATCAACAAGCTGCTGAAAATGCACCTAAAGCAAAAAGGTCTTAAGATAAGTGGAAGCAAGGCTGAGTTGATTGATCGAGTTCTCGATCACACACGCATGCGGGAACCTTAGTGCCAGAGATGCTGTAGAAGATGAGGAATCTCCCAATACATGCGAAGACGACACAAGCTCAGAGTCCAGTGATTCTGATGACTCTTCGACGTACGTCGAAGAGTCATTTGAAGTGATGTTTGTACGGGAGGAAGAAATCTAACAAGTAAACTAGGTATGAGGGAATCAATGGAAGGAGACTTTTTTCAAGGGGAGGATTAAACTTAATATTATCATTATGTGAGGGGGGTTGAAATTAATTTTTGCTTAATAAGAGGGGAGTATGACTTAGTTTTGGGGCGTATTTCACACATTTCCCAATCCCCCTCCCTCCAGGTAATTATTGCACTGTCCCTAAGTAGTTTGGCTGGGGGAAGTGGGGAGGGGGAAATGAAAAAAGTATATCCATGCATGCGCCAAGGTGCCGAGATATAGCTTGACAGCTATTTTGCTATCAAAAAATATAATATCCTTTTCTATCAAAGGCACATCGCCAACCGTGAATTTCCCCGTACTAGTTTCATGGCTACTGTACTGGCACCCAAGGAGATTTGTTAACGTTTATGTTATATTCTTCCACTTTTAGCTGCACTTGGCCCTAAACTTTTTTGAGGTAAGGCCATCCCGTTTTTTTTTCGTTTAGCGTCGAATGCATTTCCTGATATTGGGTCGGTCGGTCGGACGGATTGAAAAAAAAAAAAGACAACTAAAAAACAAATCACAAGAAGTCTCGGAATAGGAGGGCCTGGTACCCTGGGAACCCTGGGACGACGTTAAAAGTTAACTTTCACATAATTGGATTAACAAAATGTACATTTTGCTGTAAAAATGTTCCTGGTTCTCTCTGTTCTGTTACAATGATCATTTTGCAGATAGATTCAAAGAATTATTCTAAGTGAAAAATGGTTTAACTGCGTCATTACTTTTTTTTTTCTTTGGAAAATGCCAAAAATTTGGGTGGGTCGGACGACGCTAAAAGGAGAAAAAAAGAGGATGGCCTAAATTGCAAAAAGAAGTCGCGATGTTTGTTGTTTTTGGTTCTTGAATAATGTGCAGGGTCTCACCTTCTCTTTCTTCGGTGGGAGAGTAGACGAGAACCCTGGGAACGAAGTTGTGTCACTTGTAAACTGATTTTTACTTGTCGATTTACTTGCGTTCCAGCATGCATTACCAAGCCTTTAACACATACACTTACTTTGTCATACACTTACCTATTTCAGGTATGGTTGGTTGGCAGATGGCACTCTTCGCTATCCAATGCACTCAAAGGTATCTGGTTGCGGTAACATGATAGGCGTAGTTGGAAGTTCTTCGCCCAGCAGTAAATCCACAAAGAAGGACGCTTGGTGCTATAAACAAGCCTAACTTCTGGTATGACGTTTTCAAGTTAAGAGCAGTTGACTTAACAAGAAGCTGTTCTCACTAAATTAAAAGTACAATGACACTTGGATTTACAAGCATTTTCTCGGAAATTTTACCAACGAGCTCTTTTATGCCAGAACCCTTTCTCTTGCATAGTTGTATATTTATTAATCAGGGGCATTTTTGCAAACGTTCGCGACAGGACTTTGCTATGGTTACGAGATATGACGTCATAATTGACATTAAATGAAGAGATTTAGGTTTTCTCGTTTCCAGGCCTTTTTCATGAGATATCACAATTCAGCTCAACAATGGGAAGCTATCAGTGGAATTGGTGCTCCTAATTCAATGTGGTTTAAATACAAAAAGTCATCATGTCAATGGCGAGTGTTAAGGCCCATGGAACTGATAAAATTCCAATTCGTGTGATCAAAGATTGCTTACCTGCCATCTTATCTCCGTCAACATCTATCATAAACGCTACGTTTGAGTCGGACATTTTCCCTATCTCCTGGAAAATTGCTGAAGTAATACCAGCGCCGTAGCTAGTATGAGGCCAACCGAGGCACTCGCCTCGGTAAAATTTTGACGAATTTCACCGATCATTTTTATTTTACATAAGCGATCATCGGATATTTTTAACGCATCATGATATTACAAAGAATTCAGCAATTCAGTCAATATACTATGAAAAAATTACCATATCATCGATCTCAAGGGGCTAGGTACGTTAACTCAAATTTTTTTTGAACAAATACTGATCAAAACCATTGGCGAGGTTAACGGTCACCCAGATTATGTAGCTTGTTTCTGATTATTGCTTTTTAAATTCCACTTAAATTAACTCGAAAAAAAGTTACCGAAAGGCCCAGAAAACGCTGCAAATCGCATTTCCGAGAGACTAAAGTTCAAAATTTCTCGGAAATTTCTCCTCCCCCGA